TATTATAATTGTTTTGCATTATATATTGCCTTTGTTTGTATAGATTTCATTATTTATTGCAATACCTTTTCTTTTCAATAAAGTACATGCATTTATACAAATACATTTGTTTTATTGTAAAAATCCACAACGCTCAGAACCCACATATTATATTGTCTACTATATACCTCATAAGTAAGTGACATGTTATCAAAACAATACAAAATTGAAGTTTAATCTAAGAACCATTTTTTTTTTACATAAAACTTTAAAGCATTTGCACTAACATAATTAGCATTATAACTATAACTTCTAGCTGTCGTCTCTGTATGTCTGTGTATGACATTGGGGTTCGGGCATTATAATTTGTAGACTGCGTCAGGATTTATGGCCGTGCCGGTATAGTCTGTGCATCAAACATCAATTGTAAATGATTCAGCAGATCTTCGTATAGCTGACACAATAGGTTTATTACAATAACATGCAGCACAGAATGTAGTGTGTTACACGACTTGATATAGGGTAAATCAATACAATAAATACAACTTTAGTAAGAACCTCTTCTGGTATGTTATCAATTCATAGAGACAGGGGCGGACTGGGTATCAAAATCGGCCCTGGCATTATCGTATAAACCGGCCCACAAATAGCATGTCATATGTTGTAGCCAGGGAGTTGTGGGGATTTTTCTCTCCCCCCCCCCGGCAACATATATATATATATATATATATATATATATATATATATATATATATATATATACACGAGTGTGTGTGTCTGTTTGTATTTAATCTTCATTACGTACTGACCTTTCATTCTTGTGCCCTAGAATAGGCTCTTCCATTAGTTAGTGGAATGACAGTACACACCGTCATTGACAGCTAGGGAGTCTGGGGGAGCACTGTGAGCTCAGCCAGCGGGGTTCGGGGCAGAGCCCCGGATATAAGCATTATTTCCGGTATTTTAAGCTTTAAAAAAATGCATAATCTTAGGTATCTACAGTGCATTAGCCTGCTACTCTAACGCTGAAAAATTCAAAAACCAAATCTGCTATTCACTGCACTTGATTAATGGAGTCCAATGACTGGTAGAAAATGGTAACTATTGTTTTGCTTTAGTTTTTGTATTGGAGGGTAACCACAAAAACCCTTTTGGCTACGCTCATGAAATTTGGTGACTAGTTTGCTAACTTTCATTTGTGTAATTGAAGGGGGGTTTTAGCCTTAAAATCTCTTCGAAGGGAATTTCAACCTCAATCCGCCCCCTCCTTGGTTGCACTGGGGCAGTAAGTAAAGTTTCCGTTTCAGACAATGGAACACCATGTGTCATATTATATGTGTAAGCCTAATTCTCTTCAAACATATAACGTTTATAGCGTATCGAAAACTTGATGTAATCTTGCGTAGGATTACGTCATGTATTCTATTTATACATGAATGTCTTCTGAAAACTATAAACAATACAATAGCAGTTTGAAATGAATAAATTATTAAATGTTTTGGAAACTTTTTGATATTTTTTTTTTATAGCTTACAGACGTTACTTCAAAAAATAAGATAACTACGTTGGACGCTTTTCATGTGTCAATCTAGTAATGTATATTGTTCTGTGACTTAAACTCTGCTAAGTCGTTGGTTTCCCCGCCTGACTCAGTAGTTCAAAAGTTTTTACATCGTCGAAAACAAAGAAAAAAAATTTCAAATATCTCTCCCCAGAAATTGTTCCTAGTTCATTTGGTTGTCCTATTTTCCGGCTGTTGATATCAAGGCTGTTGTTCTCTGTTGTAGACACATGTACGAAGACATGAATTATACATGTGCTCACATGCCAAACGATGAAACAGAGATTCTTCCGAAGGCAACCGCCTCCAGTTTCCATGGAAGCTTAGAAAAAATATCCAGGGAAACACAACCCTAAATGTTGTTGTCGGTGCCGGAAGCTCAGCATGAATTTCTGTTGCTCTGGACGTTTTTATGTCCAACACTGTATTTATTTTTTTAAAATTGTTATTCAGTAGTTCAAAAGGTTTTACATTGTCAACAACAAATTTTATGGTCTCTCACGACAAGAACAATCAAGTTTCCCCAGAAATGTTCCTAGTTCATTTGGTAGTCCTACTTTCCGGCTGTAGACATCGAGGCTGTTGTTCTCTGTTGTAGATACATGACGTCACCTACAAAACGATGAAACTTTAAAAAAATATATTATTAATAAAAGCCACAGAGCGATAACGGAAAATTTGTAAGACTAATGTTTATATGGATGCATATATGACAGTCTATAAACCTTAGATACTTCAAAATTGAGGTTGATGGTTTAGACCTACTAAAGGATATCAAGTTTCTATCATCTCAAAATACTTATTCATGTATCTACAACAGTTTTAGATACACCCTAATATTAAAGAAAATAATAACAATTTAACAAAAACAAATACAACTTAATTTATACAAAAGAGCACGTTTACATTTATTTTTAATTTCTCATTATTATTGTTATTATTATTTTACAAATTCCGACACGTTAAAATTTAATGAAACGCTATGCTCACAGTTTTAGAGTTACCTTCCTTTAATTAATATCATACTACTGTAACTAGATTTAAAACCTTTTGTCATTTTGAATTGAACCCTTTCGCGCCATGGATGCTACGCCACTGGATGTTGGGGTTTGCAACAAGTTGTGGAACCAACTTTGCTAAAAATATTCTAGTTAACCAACTTTGCTGTTTTTAGCGTCTTTGAACCTGCCGAGAAAAAGTTTCATTCTTATCTTATCATATAAATTACAGACGTTAGGCGTACTTAAAAAATAATATGATTACTTCATACGCGTCATGCATCTAGTAATGCATTTCAACCAATGACTTAAATTCTGCCAAGTCACTGGTTTTCCTGGCTGCCTCAGGCAACCCATTCCATGCTCTAATAGCACTAGGGAAGAAGGAGTATTTGTACAAATTTGTCCTAGCATATGGGACGAGGAATGGGCCTTTATTTTTGTGTCTTTCAGAGTATTTTATTAAATTTTGTTTTTGTATTTGAAGATTATGGTTCAGTGTTTTATGTATAATTCTTACTTTACTTTAAAGCAGGCATGTCAAACTCGGCGTTCGGGGGCCGCATGCGGCCCTCGACCACCTTGCATGCGGCCCTCTTGGCCACCTCAAAAATTATCAAAATAATGTTAAACTATTACGCTGGAAAATAAAAGATGACAAGCTACTTGAATTGAAAAATAGTATTTGTTAAACTGAACAACGAGATTGAGTCTGCAGTGAACGCCAGCTACATTTTTCAAACTTAATTACAAGCCATAGCAAATCATTTAGTGAAAGGAATTTTATGAAGGAGTGTATCGTCAAGGCTGCCGAAGTAATTTGTCCAGAAAAGGTGAAAGTATTCAAAATAATAGCGTTAACTAGGAACACTGTGGCAGATAGAATAAATGACATGTCAATCAGCTCGCGTGAACAATTAAAGAACAAAATAGATTTTGAATTATTTTCATTGGCTCTCGATGAGTCAGCTGATGTAACGGGTGTAGCACAGTTGGCTATATTCATAAGGACCTGTGACAGAAATTTTGAGATACATGAGGAGCTACTTGTTCTATACATAACGCCAAAACAAGCTAGGATGTTTTTTGAGAAATAACAGGTGATATTGCAGTACAATTTACCTTTGGTAAAGCTAGCTACTCTAACAACGGATGGCGCACTAACCATTATGAAATGGTTTTGATGCAAAGCTACTTGCAAAAATAAGAGAGACTAATGCCAATTTTAAATGTGCTCATTTTCTGTGCATCATTCACCAAGAAACATAACGCACAAAGCAATTACAATTCCAACATGTCATAAGACTGGTTTAAGTCACTATCAATTTTATTTTATTTTATATCAGCTTAAAAAAACAACAAAGCTTATATTAAGTGTATCAATTAGTTTGGATCAGTCATTTAATTAAATTTGTAATAACCCAAAGCAATGGGCACCATGTCACGATTGCAGAAAAGAGTATGGGACAACATATTGCTGATTAACAATAGCCTACTAAAGCCCTAGTCTACCGGACCTGTGTGTTGAGCACCTTGCTGTACGGAAGTGAAACATGGTCAACCTACTCATGGCAGGAAAAAAAGCTGAATGTCTTCCACCTCCGATGGGTAAGGCAGATCTTTAAAATAAGGTGGCAAGATAAAATAACCAATGACGAAGTGCTACGAAAAGCAGCATGCCATGACATCCGCTCTGTTATCAGCAGCAGACGCCTTGGCTGGCTTGGCCACGTTCGTAGAATGCCAGTAGGTCGACTTCCACAAGACTCAAGACATTCTGTCTGGCGATCTAATAGAAGGCAGGAGATCCGCTGGTCGCCCACTTTTACGTTATACGGATGTATGCAAACGCGACATGAAGCTCTTCAAAATCGATACTAGCAGTTGGAAAAAAGTAGAACTGGATAGATCCATATGGAGAAAGAGCATAAAGGAAGGGTGTCGGATTGCAGATGCCATACACAACAGAAGCAGAAAGAAAGGTGAAAATGCAAAGACGCCGGGTGATTACATATGCCCAACCTGCGACCGCAGCTGTGTATCGAGGATTGGCCTCTTTAGTCACACAAGAAGTTGCAAAGGGAAAAGATCATCTCATGAGACGTGAAATGCCAGAGAGAACAAGCCCCAGACGATAATTTATAAATGGGACTGATTCAGCATATACCTCCACTTCAGTCAAGTACTATTTCTTTCCATTGTTTGAGTTACCAAACAAAGTAGTCTATTACCAATAGTTAATTAACTAATTGATTAATTATTTTCATTGATTCTTGTATTTTAAAAGAAATAATTGTGAAAAATTTCAGCTTGATCTGAGATTGGGTGTTGGAGAAATATCGTGTAAAAAATTTTGGCCAGACAGACAGAGTGAGTTGATATAAGCTTTGTAAAAAAGTATGAATTAAGTTAAGGTTTTATTTGACATCAGTGTATATTTAATGTCAATTGAAAAAACAACAATTATTGCATTCATTTTATTTTATTTCAATAATGAGATATATTAGCAAGTCTGTGCTAAACAATGACAACACCAACTCTATTCATCATCTTTCCAACCACTATTTTTCTGTGATACATGTTTGACCATTTGGTGTAACCACCTTTACTTCTGGCTGGACCTTCAAATCATTGGAAGAGAGTTCAAATAAAGTCAATAAATTTACAAAATTTAAAAGTTTTACTTTGGCTTTAAAATATCTTAAAACTTTCAACTGGCATAAGCAACAATATTTACAATTCTTAGAGTCATCAGGAGAAAGCTTTATTCTTAAAGTTTGATGCAGGAGGAAATGACTTCTGTAATAACTGTGCCCCAAATAAAAGACGGACTGATTTTAAGCCAACAAAAAAATAACAGCCCTACTTTAAGTCCAGCCCAACACAGTGTGGGGGGGTAACTCTAGTAGAGAAATCAATACCCAATAAATTAACCACTGAGAAGAAAAAAAAAAACAATTTTAAAGCTTTACAACAAATTTCAAAACATGTAAAAGTACAGAATCAATATCTCTGCCAACTATGAAACGACTAAATTATCTGCCACATCTTGTACATTACTGACTGAATTCAACACTGACTTCTTAAAGCTAACATTGGGACTAGACAAAAAAAAAAAATTAACAAATAGGCTCCTCCCCTTTTTCCCAGTGAATATACATCACATCAGTAAAAAGCAATTTTAAAATGAATATTTTGTATAGAACAAAGTATCACATATCTCCTAACACAGAACGTATGGCACTGGGAACACAGACACCCACAAGTTCCAAAGACTTAAAAATTACAGGTCAATTTATCATTCATTCAGAAACATATATATATATATATATATGTATGTATATGGTTAACTGCATAAAATAATACATTGTTAAAAAATTACTCTGTGGATACAAAACAAAATTAAAGCATTTACATTCATGCAGTTTTCCATGCCATATTGTTAGGATGTAAATTTATAGTAAATATAGTTTAAAACATAATGAATAATGCATGATACACTTATGTTGTCAAGTTATCAGGGGAGACAGGAAACATAACATCCTATGGTATATCAGAAACATAATATAGGTGTTATGAAACAAGACAGAAGTCCTTTAATGCAATACAATATTGAGGGGAATAACTTGTTACTTAAACAGAACCACCAAACATATCCCATTTAGTTTTGCAAAAAGTTGTCTTTGACCAGTCACTATTTAGACAAAAAAAGACAGAATTATGTTATAGGGAGATTGCTTAATAGCTAAATAAAGACAAAAGAACATGTCACTAAACTCTCTATCTATGTGTGAATGTATGTATGTGTGTATATCTATACTATAAAGCATAAAGTAAGGCATATGCATGTATGTCCCGAACAGAAATCAAATCCATTTAACCAATCTTGATAAAACTTGGCACATATATTTCTTAGACCACGATGGAGACTGTAGTGTATGTTTTAAAGTCTCTAAAACAACCGGATGTCCCTAAAAATAAAAAATTATCTTTACTAAAGAAGAAACAAATTGTATAAGCCCCGTTTTCATAGTATTTTATACTAGATATCAATGGGTCGCCTAGATATCAGTGATACACAAACTAAGGCCTATGGGTCATATCCAGCTGGTGTATATATAATATAATCCATTAATCCAATGAAAATACTTTCACTAATCCAAATAGTAATGAATAAACAAAATGATTAAAGTTGTTAAGCCAAGAAGATAAAATTTAGTATAAGAACAAATCTTTTTCTTCCTCCCCAACTAGGTTGCCCCCCGTTTATTATAACAAACACCAGAGTTAAGGCAAAAATAGTAAAATGGAATTATCCAAAATAGTGGCATAACACAAATATTCCGAACTATTCCCTAATTAACAAGAATAATATGATGAACTAACAAGTTTAAGTTGAGCTTAGTTCAAAATAGGGTTTTGTTTAATCAGTATCAAGTAACAAAATAAATAGAACATGCTTATCTAAACTTTGGTTTTTAATCCTATGCTACCAAATCTTTCATTCCTATACTAGTTAACATTATTTCCCCAGAAAGTAGCGAGGTACACACATAGCCACATTTAATTATCAATATCACACTTTAACTCACCGGAAAAAAAGGGTCAACTCTGTAGACATAATTCTTGTAGACATAGCTCAGGCTCTATAGGCATCAACTAAGTCTATCAACATCATATAACAACATGAATGGTATTAAGAATGTCATCACTAATTGTATAAAGTTTCTTTTTTATCAGCACTGGATTTCAACATGTCAGAATGCCAATAATATCATGAAACATTTTTGTCAATAATTTTTTGTATGGATTTTAAAAAAAAATGGATATTTGTATTAATACTTTTCATTTCTTTCAGGGCATCAATGAAAAAACAACAACAAAAAAAACATATGATATACAGTACATACCAGGCATTACATCTGTATGAACAGTCATAAGCATACATGAAAAGTTCAAACATTGTTCACATACTTTTGTTCATGGGACATAGCAGACAAGAAATGAACAAACTTTCCTACAGGAGAACAAAAAATGAGCAAATCTCTTAACACCATCAACATAACACTCTTTTTGTCATTTAATCTTTCAAATAATTTTTTGTTTAGCATTGCATTCATTCAAGATGATTGTCAAATAAATTTGAACAATGTACTATAAATCTTAAAGTTACAGAGATTAGAAGTTTTTGTTGCACATATTGATGCCATTCTCAGTGAGACAGTACTACAAAATCTGCAAACTTTATTGCATGTCTATTAAATCTATAAAACATTTTTATTATTTCTTGAAATTCATCATGAACTTGACTATTGTAGGAATGAGGATACGGCTGACAATAGCAAAGTGTGCAGTAGATTACAGAAGTAAGGAAATAAAAGGCAAAATCAGTTCCTTTTTGAAAACTACAATCCATTTAAGAGGATTAGTGGTATATTACTTGAACAACTCTGTTTGTTGCTTGTATTGTTTGAAAGAAATGAGTCTACCAGGTACATTTATACTTGACTTCAATTTTTGTACTATTTGTAGCATTGAGACATGACCTTAAAAATACATAGTGTACAATAAGCAGGTAAAAATAGAACCAAAAGTATTGCTTGTCTTTGGTTATATATTTTAGTGTGACTGGTCATTTGTTTTGTCATAAAGTGTACTGACTAACAACATCATAACACTGTCAATATCATTATGAAATTTGGCCTTGAAAGATGTGAGCAGGATTTCTTTGACAATACTGTCAACATAAATGACATCAATTTTATCAACATAATCAACAGTACTACCGACATAATCAACAGTACTACCGACATAATCAACAGTACTATCAACAATACAATTAAGGTGAGTCCACATCAGATAAAATAAATGAGTCCCTGTAAAGAAATTGTATTAACAGTTGGAAACATAAGTTCTAGTCTTAAGGAAAAACTTAAACTAAGATGTATTATGCCATGTTAAGTTGAATATAAACTTTTTAAACACCGTTTGCCAATCTAAATTTTCTAATGCTACAATCTTGCTAATCAGAATATAAATAAATTAAAATCCTTTCTAAATATCTCTATTATAAAAAAAAATTGAAATCATTCATTACATTGCAATTTAAAATGATGCTACAACAAAAACATAAGATCGGCTAATAAATAATAAGATTCTCAGCTTCAAAGTGAAGAAATTTTTGTTTGCTCATGTGGGGGATACCTTAATTAAATGCCATTAAAATTAACATCATGAAAACATTCGACATCATAATCAGCAACATCAATTTGAACATTATTATAACAATATTGATGGATTTATATTTCCATGTATAACACCATAAAAAAAATCAGAGATGTTTAAGTAGGAATGAAGAAATATATTTAGCTTGCAACTAAACTAGTATCACAAAAACATTAACCCTGAACATAGTATATGAAAAAGAAAAGAACCAGAACAAAAAAGCTGGTCGAAAAGATTCACTCATAAAATTGCTAACACAGAATTTCACTAACCAGTTATCATCAGTAGATAATCAAAATCTGAAACAAATCCAAACTAAGATTCTTTAACTCTTTCTCTCCGCAATTATTTTTCCACGTTTTTGAAGGAATTCTTTATTTTGCTCATTACTATTTCACTACCCCTGTTATGATTGGGCTTCAATAGCTTTGTTGTTTGTTATCAGAAAATGTTGTATTTGGTAGAGAATTAAAGGAAAATGCATGCTCTTTTTATATTATTCAAAGTGAAGTTTAAAATATTAAACATTAATTGAATTTAATGAAGTCAAAATCAACTATGGGATCGTCGATTAGGAGAGAAAGAGTTAATACACTTACGAAAAATTCATCACAAAGGTAGTTTCATGTTTAGTAAAAAAAGCAAAGTACCCCGTTCAGACTTTGCAATGTTTAGGACAGATGATGCAAAGGTCAGACAATAAGACAACTTAATCACAAATCCTTATCTGTTCTCAACACCACATTTGCTTTACTTTACAATAAGACAATATGAACAAATGAAAAATCTGTTTCATCATACCTGAAAATGTTTTTTTGCCAACACCTAAAATATCAAAAGTCTAGAATTACTTCCCCCAATCTCCAAAGATGAAGAGCTCATTATCAGGTGTGGCTAAATACAATCATGACACAAGTAAAAGCTAACCTTTTCTTCCCCCAAACTTTCAACTTTTAATAAAACAAGGTCTCTAAAGCAGAACTGGAGAAAATGGTGGTGTTGATGTAAAGGGAAAAAGGAGGGGGTGGGGTGGAGTTTGTCATGGTTTGGACAACAATACAAAGCACTAAAATTAAAATAATAGACACAATTATCTCCCTTATGATACAGACAATAAAATAGCAGATCTTCATCTTTCTCAAAATAATGATAATGTGAATGTAAGAAAAATGTGTCAGATGTGAAGAATGACTTAAAACTAGAATAATTGTGTCAATAGTTGTGAGGTAAGCAAAGATGAGTGGACCAGGAGAACCACAAATCATAGCATTGATTGTTGATTGAATATGCTTGAACTATTCAACATAAGGTAATTGTTTTATTTTTATTCAAATTTGATCAACAAAATGTTTGAATAGAAGCCTAAGCCTTCTTTTCAAACAGTTCTATACAAGGATCCACTTGACTTCTAATAGATCCAATACATGTTAAAAAATGATAACAATATTTCCAATTACCCAAAAATGATCAATACAATCACATAGGGCAAAGGAACATGTTGTAGTTTACTTGAAGGATTAATACAAAATGCTTATGACTTCAGCTTGAGCCGTGTGATGCAATGCACTAATATCTAGTGTGCATTATAGATGCTGTAGGAAATATCCTTAAACTCCGACTCTTTAGATTTAAATCTCTGAATTCCGTAAACCATTTTTCTAAAAAAAAAAAATCACAGAAGGATTAAACTTAATGTTAAAAAATCACAAAAGTAACTTACAATTTTACAAAATGTATGTTCTAATAGATAAATATTTAATATGAAATTTCTCCCGTGAACACATCTACACATCTGACAGGATCTCTGTAGAGGGGAAAACATCCCGTGGAAACAAAACATCGTTCAAGTCTGCATTTTCAGCCCTTTGTTCTGTATTTAGACGCTTTCGATTTCTCAGGGCTTGCATAGCATTGACAACTTCATGGCGGTTGGCCATAAACTCCTTAGACCAAGCCTTTAAAAAATGTTTTAAAAACAAAATTGTATTACCATTATATTTTGATAACTATGATGAAACTAGGAAATGAATCAATCACAGAAAGAATCCAAGAATAGAAATTCTGAATACTTTAGTTCAGTGTTTCCCAAAATGTTTCATTAATGGAACAC